CCTAAAAGTGACCCGATCATGCTGATTTTCGAACTTGACCTGCGTATTATGAATATTCATCAGTTCTGTAAGTTTCAAGTCAAAAGGTAAAATGGTTTTCCACTTATCGTGTTATCGGTGCTGCATATATGCTGAAAAAAGTGAAAAAACTGCATAAATTCCCTAAAAGTGACCCGATCATGCTGATTTTCGAACTTGACCTGCGTATTATGAATATTCATCAGTTCTGCAAGTTTCAAGTCAAAAGGTAAAATGGTTTTCCACTTATCGTGTTATCGGTAAAAGTGCACGGCGACGGCGACGGCGACGACGGCGACGACGGCGACGGCGACGACAGACGCAGATGATGGCTATATGTACAGACACATCTGTGTCTGTACATAAAAAACTCTGAACATTTATTATGGGACCCAACACCTAACCTTCAGGAATCTCAAGAACCATCAGAATTAAAAAACACAGAGTTGTGCTTTTCCACGAAAAAAAGCTCATGTCTGTATAATAATTCTACTATAGCATCCATATGTTTTAGTTGGTTGTAGAAAATAAAGATATATCATTATGATAATTATAGTTATTTTTATTATCAAAAACCATCTTATACCTGGATAACACCTTTCTCCCACCAATTCGCAGTTGCTCCCTGCAAAGCCACGCGGGCATGTGCACTTGTAGCCAACTCTTGTGTTTGCTGGCTGACACTGCCCTCCATTTTGACAAGGCGAGTCACGACAAACTGGATAAGGGTCAATGCCCACAAATTCTAATGCATCTTCTCCCAGACTGACTGGAATGTTCCTGATGACCAGGCGACTGACACCACCTAAAAATTGCCAAAAGATGTCAGTTTTTAAAGTGCTTAAAACATTTTGTCGTGGATATATGGACTTGAGAAGCAGTAGAAGGTAGCTACTTATCTTCATAAGTCTTTACTCTCAGCCACAATTATCAGACTTACTGTGAAGAAAGGACTAGGGCTATGCAGCTTATGATTACATAAGCATTACCGAAAGTTAATTCATATAGTTAAAATCTAACATGAAGTCTTTAGATTTACACAACACACTATGAAATGATCAGTCATTTTAGTTCTTAGTAAAATGAAAATTTGCTGCAAAAATTCTCAAGGAGTTTGCAAGAAAAATTTGTTCAGCTGCAACTTTGCAAGAGCATCTTAAGTTTGTGGCAAGTTTGCAAAAAAAAAAAAAGTCTTTAGATCTCATTTGCCTGGCATAATTCCTTCTTGCAAATTGCTGAAATATTCCCTACTTACCCACAAAGCCTGTCTTGAAGCCTGCACCATCTGGTATCTGTGTGAAATCTGGGACACCACCTAGGTACAGCTTGTCTGAGAGATCAAGTCCCTGGAATGACCCACTGGAGACCCCAGTATAAGTCTGGGTCCCATCAACCACCATAGTACCTGAGAACATAAGTTATTGTTATAATAATAATAATAATAATAACCAAAAGTAATTACTGAAAATTTTTATTTTTTGTTGACATCATTATTATCATAAATAATAGTAAATGTAGCCTACAGTGAAACAGACTCCCAAAAATTCAGCTGAAGTACAAACTAATATAAGTAATTTGGCAAGAATAATTTTGTGCAAAGATGAAAAGTTGTCAGGAAGGTTAAAATTGGAATTTTAAGTGGCAGTTTACAAAGTACTACCACTATATTGAAAACCAATGTTGGAGGTATGATCAAATTTACAAATGACAGTACCATTCAAAACCTAAACTGTACATTTGTACTGCAACGACACACTGCAGTAGTTATGTTATTTCTATACAATTTATACACATTTTTACAAGAAACATATGAAAGCTAGAATAAGTGCCTGGGCACCTCCAGAAGAGGGGTGCCACTGATTTTAATTTACATTTTTGTATCTAATGTTCTCGTGTATGTTTATATGTGGGTGCATGTGTGTGTGTGCTTTCATGCCTGATGTTTATGTGGTTTCTATACACGTGTGTTTGCATGTATGTGTTTGCGTGTGTACAGACCTCTCTTCGACGATCTCTCTATACGAACAGTGTGCCATTGGTCCAGTTCCACGGGTCTGTCAGCCTGAATGACTGTCACACCATCTCCCATGTCAAAGCGGAACTCTGGCTTAGCTTGACGAAGACCAAATGACATGAAGTCCACAGAATCTGACACTCCATTGCCGTTGTACAACAGCAAACCTGTTGAGAGATTAATATATATGATGTTTATGCTGGCTCTCGACATGTTGCATGGGAATTTTAAATTATTAAGTAACCACAATGCATGATTTGGAATGAAATGGATGATTCAATTTCACTGATTTCCTCATACTTTAATGATATTAGCAACAAGTTTACAGTGTTAAGTCAGGTATAATATAATTGTGCATTATTTTAACATTAAATTAGGCAAATGATTTTCAAACCTAACAATAACTTCAGGAATACTGCCATCTTCAGGGTTAAAACTTTACATGACCATGAGATATGATCATATCAGACAGAACACCATAATATTTTACAACAAAATGTATCACATCATTTTCCCCACTTGTCATCTATGTCACAGTGGCCCACTTACCATCTGTGTCACAGTGACCCACTTGTCATCTGTGTCACAGTGACCCACTTACCATCTGTGGCCTCTGGTATGAAGGAGATTTCCAGATCAAACTCCAGGTAAGCATCGCGCAGAGATTCAAAACCCATGTATGACCTTGGGTTCTGGGTCATGTAAGGCACCAATTCTGCAACAACATATGTGTGCAAAAAATTCAAACAAGGTTTCAGCATTTCAAGTCAGTTTTAAAGTGAAAATTTAAGTCCCTTATTGTGGGATTACCTAATATTATTGGCAACTCTTACATTCCTGAAATGGTGGAACTGCCTCTTTGTGAATCAGTATATCCAAAATGTGCAAGCTCTTCCAAATCAAGTACATAACAGCGGAACTGCCTGTTCTATCAGCAGTACTCTCCTAGTATGCATAGTATACATCCCTGTGTTTTAGTTTTATTTCCACTCACCTTGCACCAGCAGTTGATATTCCTGTGTGGCTGTTCCATACTGATTTTTAACAGTGCATACATACACACCACTGTCTTCCGTCTTCACATTATTGATGGTCAGGCGGCCACGGTCTACATTGCGGTCCCTGGAGATATTGTTGATAGAGAGTGAATTGAAAGATAATTATTGTCCTTTAGAGGCATCAGGAACAAATATAATTTCTATATGCAGTTCAGATTTTAGTTACTAATGCACAAAACTAGTCAGCATTAAGACAGGTTTTACTTTGCAGACAAAGTGCAGACATCAAAAGGCTTTTATTTTATAATAAACGCAAGCTTTAATACAAATTATTTTTTCATTTTGTTAGATTATTTTCTAGAAGTGTCCTATACACGTAACATTTCAAGTCATTCCTATATTTCCCTTGACTCACCTAGGTAGCTCTGCCCCCTTTTTGTTCCGCACTTCAAACTATACCTAAATTTTCCTAAAACCAACTAGATAACTCCACTCCTATTTGTCCCATATTTTAAACTATCCCTACATTCCTTGACTCACCTAGGTAGCTCTGCCCCCTTCTTGTCCCACATGATATCCAGAGGTGGGGCACCGAAAGCTTCACAGGTCAAGGTAGCTGACTTCCCCAGTGCTACACTGTACTTGGGGTCTGCTGGGGCAGTGATACTGGGTATGCCTGGATAGAGAGCAATATAGGGCAATTAAGAACAGCTGAATTTGATGAAACGGCTTTCATTATCTCTTGTGAAAGGATGGTGAGAAAGTAAATTTTTCTAAAGAGATTATATGTAGTATTAAAAAAATAATTATTGTTATTCCATTATTATTATTATTGTTACTTTTATGTTTATTATAAATATTATCATTATATTTATTATATATATTATTATATATTTATCATTTTTGTTTATTATTTTTATCATTATAAAACTGACCTTCTATCCTGAGTGTAAGCGTAGCATTGGCCACTCCTGCCACATTAGACGCCACACAGACATACTCTCCAGCATCTTCTGGCTGGACATTGGTGATGACCAGCTCTCCATCATAAGTGGTGGTCCCAGGGGGTAACTGACCACCTATCCTCTCCCAACGTAGGTTGGTTGCTGCAACCACAGCAGGGTCAGTGCCTGGAGTAAAATCATTTTCACATTCTTATTGTCTACTGTTAGCTACTTTCTGTATATTGTATTTTATTCAATACTGATGAATACTGTATTGATTGTTATCACTTAACTCCATTTTAGTAATACAGTAATACAGTTTCTCATACACTTGTTTTATTTTGTTTCTCTCTTTCTCTATCTGTGAAACCTAAATAGAATTTTATCAGAAGTTCATTTTGTTTTTGTTACAGTATGATTCATTTTTGATTATATGTAAACAGATTTTTCTGATAAATGTATAAGAGTATAATGAATTGTGTACATATTTTGCAGTAAGTTGTGCAGCTTAACAGAAAGGATTAGCAGCATCCTTCTTTAATAATCAAAACTGTCCCTTTTTATCAATTAGATTAAGTGTTTCTTCAATAAAAAAGAACATTTGTTTTGGTGGAGATTTGATTTTTTATCCCCCCCCCCCACATATGATGACCCTGCACCCACCTGGTCTCAGTAGACACCTTATCTGGACAGTAGCCCCAATGGAATAACGTTCATTCACCAATTCTAATACTGGGTAGGCCACAGAGATTCTCCCTGAAATCATAATAACAAAATGCTGGTCAGCAACAATTCATATGGAACTTTTGTGCCAAGTCTACTTTTTCTTAAAAAACAGCAATTTTCACCTGACAAATCACTGTTCAACTCTTGGTATGGATTGGACATTTTATACTATTTCTGATTAAATAAGTTAGCTCTACATTAATCATTGTTTATATCAAATGCTTCCATGTCTTCCTGGTAACTCAGAAGAAATCAAAATTAGGCATTTTTAGTTGCAATGTTTGATCAAGGCCTAGATTGGGACAGATAAGAATAGTTTTACAAGATGTTTAGACGTAGCAATATAGTCACAGCATCGTAAATCAAGAGATATAAAGAGTCCAGAAACTGAAATTCAATATATTATCCTCACAGGATAGCCAATTATCTTCGTAAACTAAAACGTGACCACTTACTTGCGATATTAACAAACCAGTAGTATGTTCCCTGTCCAGCTTCATTGACAGCAGTACATATATAACGCCCGGCATCTTCCTCCCGAGGATTGTAAATTCTAGGAAATTGTACATAAAGAAAAATTACTACAGATGGCAGCGATTTTGTGGAAATGTTCATGCCAATAAGAAAATTAATGAAAATGATTGATATTATTGGTGATTCCCTACGTGTTCTCCAGAAAAAAAATTCTGAAAATTTTCTGCTTTATTCATGTTTTAAAAATTTGTATCTGATTATATCTCCATCTGTCTCTTTGACACTCCCTCTTCCCTTTTTCTCCACTCTCTCTCTCCCTCTCTCTCTTTCTCTCTCTCACACACACATAAACACTTTCTCTTTTACACTCTCTCTTTCCCTTTTTCTTCCAGCTCTCTCTCTATCTCTCACACATCAAACGAACGCATATGCATGCACACACATACATGCTTTCTCCCCATCCCATCCTTGCCTTCCATACCTCAACACTCCATTCATGACAGTGTGGTCCACAGGCAGGCTTCCTCCCTCTTTACTCCAGGTGACGCGGGGCGGCGGGTTTCCCCTGAAGTCACAGCGCAGTTCAACAAGCTGACCTACATCCACAGTGACCCGATTACTGGGAGGAGGAATGATTTGTGGGGCACCTGGCGTAATAAAAAGAAAATGTATATTTATACTGACAATACATCAAATAATATTTACAGTGAGAAAACATTAAAGAATTAAACCTAGCTTTGTCATTTATAATATAAATATAAATTTATGAAGGTTCAAATATGATTTACTTGATTATGAAGGGTTTTTGGTTCCTACTTAAGGCCAACATGCATTTGTATTCAACATCAGAGCATCAGAGATTCTATACATTTAAAGCAATGTAACACTTCTGACAAAAGACTGATAAAACTACAGCAATTTTCAGTGCAAAACAACTTTAACAAACACATAGGTTTACTACTAGTGCATTTTCTGATGGCGAAAAATATTTCCCACTGAAATTCATAACAAATTTGGATCTAAAATATCACAAGCCAAATAATTTAACTATTTTATAACAAAATGTTAAGTAGGATGTCATAGAGTGTTACTATACCACTTACTTATAACTCTGACAGTGACATAGGCATCACTTTCTCCGGCCCTGTTTCTTGCCACACAACGGTAGCGGCCTGCATCAGCCAGGGTCACGGGGAAAATTTCCAATACTCCGTCTCTCTGCGTGGCTGATGACGACAAGACACCACCATCCTAAAGCAGCCAGGATGCAAATCATTTATTAATAATTGTCTAGAGAAGATGAATACATTCAAATCTTTGAAAAATCAAGAATATTATGTTTCAATGTCATGAATGCCAAAATAAACAATAAATATTTATTTAAATGTAGACAGTTAAAATTCAGCTGAGACTGGCAATGAACAAACACAGCATGTCAAAATGTAAGTAAAAACATATTATTACCTTAAACCATTCAATTGTGATTGGTTGCGTTCCCTGAGCTCTACAAATCAGCCTCATCCTGTCTCCTGTCCGCAATGTCTGATCAAAGGTGGTCAGTGACACTTGAGGACGTCCTTCATGACAAATAAATAAATAAATAATAAATAAACTAGNCTAATTAATTACTACATAGACAGATGTACATAGTGGATAGATAAATTCTAAAAGGCATTATTAATTCAACTAAAGAGTATATAAAATATTTTGGTTCCTGAATTTTCCTCTCTTTTCAAAAAAATATGTTTAAAAATCAAAATGTTAGACTGTTTTCTATTCTGGCCGAGTTCTTTCACTAAATTTCCATGTTGATAAAGTATCCATGCATGAGGCTTTTAAAAATCTTCTTCACTTTTCCTCTGTAGAAATATTCTTCCTGGCCACAATCTTAATAATATTTTAATTGGAGCCGATTCCACGAAAGATCTTGTCATGACCAAAGATATAATAACTAATAACCAAAAATCTTAATTCTATCTCACCTTAGGATTAATCTGGTACCCACTACACATATTTTTAAGTTGATATTGGATTAAAATGTGAGCAAATTTACCTTTCATTTTACAAAGCTAACATAACATCACTTTTATACTTATATTGATTCATCAACAGTCAAGGAAAAATAAACTGGTCCATGATAAATTATTTTCCTCACCTGCTACAATGAGTTCCACCGTGTGCTCTGCACGACCCCACTGATTAGAGGCGATACAGACATAATTCCCAGCATCCTCCAGCCTGATGTTACGCAGCTCAAGCACACCATTTACAAGAGAGTGTTGCTGTGGCAACAAACCACCTCGTTTGATCCACTGGTAACGGGGCTGTGGGTCACCTGAAAAAATATTTGATTCAGAAATTCAGATTTAGTTTTAAAAACAGAAATAAAATCATTAATTTTGTTTTAAATTTCATAATTAATCACTTCCATTTACTCAAAGTTAAATTCTATTTTTATCTTTGCTCAATACTCAGATTTTTTTTAACATCAAAATTTAACAAGTGAAACACTCTATATGTAAACTGCTTAAATTTGAATAGTAGGATTGTTAATGAGAGTTTACAAAACATTCTGAATTTCACATTTATCGTTTTGTTGAAAGTATGCCAAACTTCATCAAGTGTAACATCAAAACTATGAAATCAATTCTAAAATGAAGTATTTTCATACGTTTAGAGAGGCAATTGCTTTCAAATAAGTGGCAAGAAATCACTGTCATATTATCAAAAATAGCACTTTTCTACAGGCGTTCCACTGAAGGAAATTTTTTACCAGACCACCTTTGAATGTAGCACTTATCATACATAATCACTGAAACAATGGTGCACTAACCTCTTGCAACACAACGCATGGTGATCCTGTCTCCAACGTTGACTTCATAACGAGACTGGAGAGATCCCGGTACAACTATGGGTGGTTCCCGGCCACCCTCGACTAAAAAAGAAAATTATACACTTCTCACTTTCCCAAACAATATACTTCTTTATATTCCAATGGAGATATCACTTCATTACATCCATCTTATATGCAACAAATCCTAATCATTTAATCTTTCCCCTAATTCAGCTATTTCCTTCTAGCCTTATTTATCTAAATACAAAACAGTTTCTGTTTGGTGCATATAAGGCAAAGATCAAAACCTCTACTTCTACTGAATTTTCACAATTTGTTTTTGTATATCTTATAACTAACAGATTTCTTTTCCTAAGTGATAAATGTATACCTATTAGTCGCACACTGCCTTCTGACCTCCCTGCGGCATTGAAAGCTATACAGTAATATGTGCCAGCATCAGCGAAAGAGACAGACTCAATTTTGAAAATGGCAGTGTTCCTTGGCTGAATGGAAGGCTGGACAGAAGAGGGTCTCCGCCGTTGTTCCTCTGTCTGCCAGTAGACACTTGGCACTGGGTCACCGCTGGCTGTACACTCAAACTCCACTCGTTGGCCAACACGTACTCTGACAGGTTCTGTTGGTAGGTTTCCAATGGATGGTGCTGTACCTGCAGGAAAGTGATAATTAAACTCAATACACATCTAATTCTAGTTTATCACTTGGTTAAAAGTGGTTTGAGTGGTTATTTCTGGGGGCCTTAATCAAATTCTACTCTCCTTTAACCAACAAGTAGGTTCTAGAACAGGCCAGAATTCAGTGGACATTTAAAATGAGCCTTCACAGCGTCACTTCGCTACAGGACTCATCTGGTAATACAGATTTAAAACCTGAACTTGCTTGTTTCTGTGGCTAATTACGACTGTGGGAAGATTTCCAATGATGTGGACCTACCAGAGAGAGTGACAGAGACCCTTGCTGTAACAGTTCCAGCAGTGTTAGATCCTGTACAGACATAGGTCCCCTGCTCTGCTTGAGTGATACGGAAGAACTGCAGGTCTCCATTAGGGGTGACCCGGGTATTGGCAGTGAATGGCAGTCCACCAGCCCTAATGTAAATGTTACTTACATTGTCAACACAGTTCTTTTAACATGATGACTATCCCAGATAAATGTTTTTTGAAACTTTTATAAAATATGTTCAAAACTTTTGTGGTATAAGGCTATGATCGTTGTAGAGGAATGGACCACCAGATATAATCAATATCATGAAAAATAATAATAGTTATAAAAATAATAATTATGATATAATCAGAACAGTGAGTATTGTAGATAAAACAGCAGTAAAATAATATCAACAACTGTAATAAGTTTGTTAAAAAAAACTTCTGTAACACTCCTAACATAAGCACAGCCTGATATGTGATTTCAAAAAGACAGTCACCTGGTCCATCTGATAGACGGCTGGGGGTTGCCTCCCACTGCGCGGCACCTGAAGAGGGCAGTACCATCTGGTCTGATCACCTGACCTGATGATGGAGAGATCTCAATCCTTGGTGGAATGCCACTTCCTGTAAGTAAAAAACAAAGGATGGTTTAATGTATCCTATCTGTGTTTTTCCCATCCAATCAGGACAACGAAGGTTGGGACCAAAACCATGAGCCTGCCAGTGCTCACGCTGGGGGTACTAATGGACCATTTATAATTTATATATTAAGAGGCAAGTGAAATTCCGCTAAATACAAACACCATGTAATAAAATACATACGCTCCACTGTCACGCTGATGGAGGCTTGAGCTGTGCCTCCACGATTCTCAGCTGTGCACACGTATGTCCCAGCATCCTGTGGGGTCGCCCTCAATATCTGCAATGTGTTGCCTAGACGCTGGAAGACAAAGTGGACTTATCAGCACTTGTTTTCAGTTTTTCCATATAGACTGTAGCAAAAGTGAAAGGATTTGCAAAGAGATCAAACATAGTCTCTGACTCTTAATCATCCTTAATAATTCTCAGTAAATTCTGTTGCTAGGGAACATGTTACAAATTGACAAATATAAGTTTAATTTATCACTTACAGTTGTTTTGCCTAAAGGTGACAGATTAAGAAACTTTGGTTCTTTTTCCATCAAGCAATGTACTCAACTGATGCAGTCCACATGGCTTTAATTTACTATGAGAGACTGACAACTAAAAGAAACCTCACAATTAAACCACTGAGGTCTTAAAATGACAAGCAGGCAGGTATAAAGATAAGAAATCAAACAGGAGTCAGTTCTAAAACTCTGTCTAGATGTCTCTCACCCTGTGGTTGCTGGTCAGCTGTCCTCCAACCCTGCTCCATGTCACCGTAGGCTGCGGTGTGCCTACCACATTACATCTCAGGATAACAGAGGAACCCTCAGTACCTCTGACTGTGCTGGCTTCTACAGTGATCTGGGGGGCTAGGGAGAACAGAAGTAAACATTGTATTAATATTTTGTAATAATCACAAACAATTAATTCTTTTTCTTTTGCTGTGCTGGAGTCTGCAGTAACATAGAACAAATTTTGGCTTCATCTTATTATTTTCTAAAAAATCACATTACCTAGTACAATACTGATATGGTGCCAGAATCATGATGTAGCAGTATAAACTTACCAACAACAACTGCAACTAAATCCTATACAATAAATTTTTTCAATTGCAACATTCTTTTCTTGGAGGTCAATTTTAGTGATAACACGTCATGAAACAAAAATAAATTACCAATGACAGTGCTGACTTTATAAAGAGACTTTAGAAAGTTCCTGAAAGTTCCTGAGCAAATTCCACTATAAGTTGCAACATATCATGGAACAGTAAAAGTACATACCAGTGACAAAGCCAATTTCTACAGTAGCAATGTGCCCACCTCAGATGCCAGTATCAGAAAAAAACATTTCATAACACATTAAAAAATACTTACCAACCACAACGTTGATTTCTACAAAAGCAATATTCCTGCCTCGGATGCCAGTGTCAGTAAGAACATCTAACATAAATTTTTAAAAACTTACCAACCACAACGCTGACTTCTACAATAGCGATATTCCTGCCTCGGATGCCAGTGTCAGTGACCACTTCACAGATGTATTCTCCAACTGCATCTGGCTGGGCATTAGGGATGACCAGTTGACCATTGGACTGTGTGGAACCTGAGGATCAATACAGGTCAGTCAATATGAAAAGATAATGGCTTTAAACACAGGTGGACTTTTGCTGGGCATTTGGGCAGATCCCAAGGAAAAATGTGAAATTTTAAAATGCTGAAATATTTTCCATGAAATCAAAAAAAAATTTTTTTAAACAAGTTTTATTAATTCAAAATGACAAAAGTAACCTTTGAGAAAACAGAACAACAAACACACACGTATCAACACTTCCTTAAAATTTGGTTAACAACAATTACCTTAAAATATTCAAATAAGAATTTTTTACTTTGCATTTTGTACGGATGTTTCAGGGCCAAGATTTCCAAGGCATCTATGTCTAGTGCAGTATACAAGAACTGAACTTTTCTTTCTTTCATTCAACCATCTTGCTGACAAAAAGAATAAATAAATAAATAAATAAATAAATAAATAAATAGCTCACCAATGGGCAAAGATCCCTGGGCTCTGGTCCAACGGATGGTTCCAGCCACATTATTCCTGATATAACACTGCAGCACCACCCTGCCTCCTACAGTTACCCTGATTCTCGGGTTGTTGATCACTGCGTATGTGTTGTTTACCACCAGTGGTCTCTCTGAAAATAATATTTTGTCCTGTGATATGAAGGGTGATTTGGGTTATCAAATTACTGTCTAAGAGAAGAGAGAACATGTTTTACTGATGAATGTTTTAAGTATTTCATGCTTTCTCGTGTTGATGGAGCAAAAAAAAAAAAAAAATTAATTAATTAATTTCAACTATTTCTTGATTAGATTAAAATATCAATATTTCTAAAGACAAAATTTATTATATTAATTATAGAAGTATTCATATGCAGATACAAGTATATCCTTTCATAATATAAAACTGTTCCAGTACTATTTATACACACTCATGAACACATGCACAGATACATGTACACATATACTTAAAAACCTCAAATCCTTATAAAAATAATATAAATTATATATATATAAATAATTCCATAATGCCTACGTCTGACATAAAGTATTGTCTCCACACTGCTCTGTCCCGCGTTATTCCTTGCTGTGCATGTGTAGCGACCCTCATCCTCAGATGACACGGAGTTAATGCGGAAGACGCCTCCTCTGAAAGTGCCAACTCCCTGGCTGAAGCGTCCCCCAGACCAGGACAAGGTAGGCGTTGGTGAGCCGGATCCGATACATCTGAACTCGACAGATTCCCCTTCATATACAGTGGCATAGCGGGGCTCTATCCTCACATTCGGCTGTTCACCAGTCACTGCAGAAATGTAATATAATAACAATAAATATAATAATAATAACATGATAATAGTTTACTACTACACCATAATAGCAGTCTTCTTTCAGGACAAGAGGTATATCAATGAATGAAAAAGAATCTAGCTCAAGTGCAGACTCCATGCATATAGTGGTCACCATGTTACACTATTTTAAAATGTATTCAAAGCTTGTATTTGTAGATACATTAGAAACCCACTTATGTCAGAACCTATAAGGCTTAAAGTTTAAATACCACAGGTTTCAACAAAGAATTTGTACATTTTGTATCAGACCAGTAGTTTTCATAGGTCTACATGTCCAAGTGACCACTGGGCAGTAAAGCTTATCACACACACTTCACAATGGCTACTATACCTGTCAGTCTGGCCTCGTCCGTATCGACACTGAAGAGATTGGATCCCGTACAGATGTACACTCCCGAGTCCACAGGCTGGACATTGCGGATGGTAAGAATTCCGTTCTCATCTGTGGCCTGAACTGGCAGACGACCACCCTGTTTTGTCCAAGCAATTGTGTAGGTGCTCTGAAGAGATGGAAATAGATTTGCAGGTAATTAAGGGAAAGATATTTAAACAGATAAATAAACATATAGATAAGTAAAAACATTTGCAGGGTATTATGGTTAAAGCTTTTATATTTATTATATATATATGAATGCTGCTATATTAAATAATGCAATCCTATAAGATATTAAAATATGTATAAAAATCTACCTTAACATACTGGGGTAATTTATAATATAGAATATTGTGACTTAAGCTTCTCTTCTCACTGAGATGTCTCATGTATACACAACAAAAAAAAACAAAATGTCAGACAAAAAAAGTGTTGCTATCTATCATTACAATTTAATTGCTTAAGAAATAAATGGACTTATTTAAAGCTATCTGCCCTTTTTACAGTTTAACTTTATCTTTAAAACAACATCACTACCACAGAAGCTGACAAATGAATAAAAATCTAAAGAGTGTTTTTACAAAGCAAAATTTCACATCTAAATTCAGGACCTGAAATAAAAGGTCAGGGGAAGCATGGACTGGAAACTTTTAACTTAAGATTTGTTTTTGATTTGGAACAAGTCATATATATCGAAATAGTTGAGAATAGAACCCCTATGCATAATCGAAGGGTTTTCTTACAAATAACAAATTTTTAGCTGTAAAGTGGTCTAGTTATATGTAATATCCTACAGTGTCTCTATGATTCTTTCAAAAATATATTACCAACACTTCACTCCCAAATTCTCCAAAGAGTAAAAGAAGAAAAGTATGGTTAGATTATAACAGAATAAAAGACAAACTTAAGAGAAGACATTTTGCTGCAAAATGTTAAAATGACTAAGAAGCTTCTGTGCATTCAAAAGCACACAAAATGACTGTTATCTAAATCTTGTTAATTGACATTTCAAAACATACAGTTTGCAATACAGCTGCTAAAGTTAGTAAACCAGGTGACAAAATAACATTTTTACCTAACTTCAATTGTAATACTGTTCAATTGCAATACAGCTGGCAGAAAAAATAGTCTAGCATGATGTACAATTCTTAATTGAGATCCAGTAGAAAGAGTGAAGATCTCTACCAATCAAGGTTTAAGAAAAAACTCAAATAAATGACTAGGGCACCTGGATGCAGTTTAAATTTCTTTCCGTCCTTAATAACTGTCTATCCTGGTATTTTACATAAAATTTTGTGAAGAACATTTTGTGTTATCTTATACACTGAGTAACTGTTCCCAGGAGGCTGCTTTATGTCTCCAAGAGGGAGGATGATATGTCATTAATTAGACTAAATTTGAAGTCCAATAATGGCTTTAAAAGCTTTTTATTTTTACCACATTTTGTTCACCAAAAGTAGTTCTTCACTACTTTGGTACAGAGCATTGGAAATTAGAGTTTAAGTAAAACTATTTTCCTTAAAATTGATAATTGTTAAACCAATCAAATCTTGCAAGCACAGCAGAAAAGCTAACAACTGGATCACCCAACTTCCTTAAACAAAATCATTATGCAATAACTTAAACTTCAAAAATAAGTCCAAATTTGGCATGCAATACTAGTTTTATATTGTTATGAACTTCTAAACAAAATCTTTAGTGTACAACATGGATTTTTAAGTTGAAGTCTCAAAAGAAAAAAAATTATTAGCTGCCAGCTATTATGATACTTAAAAAGCTGACTATACGAAAGAAATGTTTAGTCTAACATTAAAAATGTATGTACAAATGGCAAACTTTATTCTAAAACAATGAGACTGCAAAGCCCGAAAGACACACCAATCTAGCAAGTACCCTAATCAAACTTAACTTTTCTAATATAAATAAAATAATTGAGCTGACCTATTTCCTAATATCTATAGCATTAAATAAAGCACAGTGCAGACAATTACTTTAAACAGCAGTATCTAGAATATTTTAGTGTTTCCAATTAAAAAATCTGAGCTAACCTAATTCTTAGTATCTATGACATTAAATAAAGCACATTGCAGGCAATTACTTTTAAACAGCAGTTCCTATTATTATAATTTTATAGTTCTTGTTAAGTGAGTGTACATTTATCATTTGTATTACTGATGACAAAAATTTTCATACAAAATAAATGGACAGACAGGCAGACAGACAAACAGAAGCACAGACAGACAGACAGACAAACAGACAGACAGATAGATGGACATACAAACATAAAACATTTAAATCTACAGCAGGATATTAGGAGTGCTTGATTAAAACTCTCTACTGTGCTTTTTGAACTACATTAACCAATCAAATACAATATAATATAATATAAATCAACTTTCCAATAGCACTATGCCATACTCTGGTTGCTACTCTACAAGCCTCTTGAGTTAAAGGTGTGCAGTACTACTAAGCTAGTGTGCCAATGCTGTGATTGGAAAAGTAAGTGCCAAAGAAACAGAGAAAAGAAATCGAAATTATATAAGCAATGGGGAAAATTAAGGCCCTCCCACCCGACTTTAAGTTAAACACAACACCATAATTCATTAATCATGTCAATCAAAATAAAAACATTAACACTAAGCCATTTGTCAAACCATAGGCATGTTTAGACACACAGTTTTAATGAAATTTTAATTTGATTATAAAAATTGGAAGCAACTGAAATTGTTTCAATACTATTCATCAAGTCACAATAGTGATACATAATGAGATGAATTCAATGGTTTAAATTTCAGGACACAAAGATCCAATTTATTACAAAATTGTCATTCATTTTCCTTCACCACAGCACTATATAAAGTGTGTGTAAACATGCCCTTTGCCAAAAAAGATGCAATTAACCACCATCAACCAATTATTCCTATCAAAAGTCAACACATTAACAAAATTAGCCCATGAAATAATTAAACAATTTAACTACAGGTAATTTATCTACAGGACTAGATATCAGAAATTCTTCACATCTTCATTTGTTACATGATCCGATTTCTCCAAGAATTCCGAAATATATAGTTACACTTCAAAATGTCAAAACATTAGGAAAAAATTAAAAAAATTAAAAACAGCATCATTACGTTATAAACCTCCAACTGATATCTAGTCCTTGTACTAGCAAATTACTGGTCATTTAATGCATACAGTTATGAAACACCATGAAAAAATCAATTAAAAATTTGAATAATATTAATTGTAAAATTATTCCATGGTGTTTCAAAGCACCTGGGGCTAGTTCCACAAGAGATATTAAAACTGAAAGTAGGTCTCAACTTTAACACCCCAAATGTTTGTCTAGTTTCTCATTAAGTAGTTTACTAAAACAAAGTAACGGTTACTTTTGTTTCAAACATTCATTAGTTTCTTGTTACAAAACAGACACAATATTTTGAACTTACAGTTGAGATCAACTTTCAATCCGGATATTTCATTGTGTGACCAGCACCGAATCAACTTGAGCACAGCAGCACCACCGAGTGTCATGCTGACTGTTTAGACCCACACTTAAACCCAAACTGGTTCAGAAGTCACATGGGTCACCAGGCAATGAAATTACATAGGGCACAGGCCTGTAGGTTGGGAAGATTCATTGGGGTGGGGGAGAGAAAGTTTTTGGCCATAGAAGGGCCAATCTACATCAAAATGTGGTTCTATGCCATTTGTCCAATTGGCTCAATTCAATTAGAAGTTACAATGGGCCACTTTTACAGAACAAGACCTCCCCCGCACCTCTGAAATTGATGGCGACTGGTCCGTGAACCATATTCAACAGCTACCTGATGTGATATCTGGAAAGACCAAGTCGTGTCCCAGATTATCAGACCACTTTCACCCAAACCAGTTCGAGTTAAGGGACCTGCTTCACAGAAGTAAATTTTTTTTAATTTGAAAATTTTGACAAAGACTGCTAGCAGATTTATTTGACCAAGTCTTGTTTCATGAAGAATTTAAGCTGTTAACTTGCTTTGCTTAATATTCTTCTAAGCCTTTAAAACATATTGTGATGGACTTGACAATCTTTTTTTCTCTGATCAATGACAATAACCCACTAAGGTGGGTCAACATCATGCACATTGATCCAAGTATTGAGAAAATGTTCTTAGTTCTATCACAATTCAAACAATCCTAGTTCAGCAGTATACATTGTATAAGCGATGTCCCCAAATTTTTCTTCATGTGAAACAGGTTGTAGGTCTAAAACTGACCATGCCTTATGTCTGGTAATTATGCAACATGGAGTGTTGGAGCATGTGTGGCAACCCCCCTACATCCCATAATTTAAAGGAGTTTTTTTTATCCAATAGTCTCTCAAATTTGTCCCATTACTGTTTATCACTTGTGCAGTTTATCAACATCATCTGTTCTATTAAATTTAACTATTTTATTGATTTATACAAATAATTCTGATAATGCAATTATCATATCCAGAAAAAAAAGGGTTTCATAAGAAACATGCTCCAACTATCCCTGTGCTCTGTGGGGTTTTGTTGAGGTTCCATCATGATACAGAAAAGCTGCCATGTTATTAAGTGACACGATGTTAAAAAAAGTCCATAGTAGTTGTATCAGTATAAACCAGTAAGTTAAAGTTAGTTGTTAAAAACTATTTCAAAATACAATTTAAACTTACCCTCATCGGCAACATGTTTGTAGCAGAACATACTCTCGGGATCTTAAATCTACCATCTGGTAGAAGTTCACATTAGTGACATATTAGAAAATTTTAGAGGGATTTTTGAATTAGTCTCTTACTCTATTTCTTGGGTTTCCTGAAGTTGGGATTAGGGTTAAAAGTCAAGGCAGCTTTTCTGTGAGTTCTGAGCCTCATACAAATCCCCAGAGTAGATAATTATTGAAAAGAAGGGAAGAAAACTACCAAATCTGACACATACATCTCTAACCTGGCTAATACCAGAACAAATGAAACGAATTGTTGCTCCAATCAACGCCGTCTGCTGCTTGGGTTCTTCAACACGGACCACAATGATATCTGTTCCTATAATGGAAAATAAATGGTGACAATTTGTTAAGAAAATATCTAAAAATCTACCCCGGGGTTCAAATCCAGAGCATGCTAACTTCTTTAATTTCAAACCCCTGTTATGACTGTCAGTGTAAAATGTGAGACTTGTTCACAACAATTATCAGAAACACACATCCAGTTATTTTGTAAAAGGCCAAGTACTGTACTTTATTATATAAAACATTCTAGACTAACATTTGTGATAGGTGCAGTAGACGTATATCAAACATCAAAACTAAAGCTATAAAAACTACAGAACATAAAATGTCATGATTGCCTGCTTCTTGAGTGTTTCCTCAAAAAGAAATTGAACAATTTTCTAGACTTTTGGTAACATCAAAGAACTCCAATTTGTACATTGCAACCACACTGTTTCAATGAGAATTACTTTTCATTATCAGTAGAAAAATATCATGAAATCATAGTAAATTAGACCAATATTAGGTTTGTGATTATCATTAATGTAATCAACTACATCAGATCAATTGAATCAAAATTAGGCAATCATCAGAAGTCAAATCAATTATATCAAACTAATGATTACATCAAATCAGTGGTTGTCAATAGTTAATTATCACCATAAATCACATCACTTACTGACTCTGACTTGCAGTCTAGCTGTGTCACTCTTACTCCCTCCGTCCACTGTGGACACAGTACAAATATACTCTCCTTGGTCTGGTTGCTGGACATCACGGATGGTCAGTGAGTTATCATTGGCCACATTGGCTCTCTGAGGCAGAGCAAGACCTCCTGACCGCGTCCAGCGCACCGTGAATACTCCTGGTCCCCGCGCTGAGCAGTCGAATCGCACCGTGCTGCCCACATATTCTGTTATACTCTTTGGGACAACCTGAACATCAGGGACAACTGTGCGAAGAGAAAAGTCAGATATTGAGAGTATAAAATTGTGTGGTTCAGAAATAAGATGTTCCATGTTTCTGTGAAGAGGTTTAGTCAGAATTAGTCAACAATAAGTGCATTAATAGAGTGAAATATGATAGTACTCTGTTACCAAGATATGTTCCTCTTAAGATTTATTCAATAACATTTAACTGACATTGCCTTTCTACATTATCAGAATAAAAACAAATCATCTTTCATTAACTATCTTTCTCACCAATAACTGGAGTACATCTACTCCCTGCCTGGCGTGGATTGCCCTGATATCCATTAGCACATCTGGAATATAATATCAAAATCTATCAGAGGACCTCAAAGCACAATGAAAGATTTGTTGAGAAACTAAATGCTTTCTGTGTAAAAAGCAAAACAATCAATGAGAAATTGTATGGTTTTACAGATTTTATTTCAGTTCTAAGAATCAATAACTCTTAAAATTTTATAGAAGTAGTGATGTTCTGAGTGCAGACAATGTGCCTGTTCATAAGAATAAAACTGGGAGCAGAGGGCAAAATAATTCAAGAAACACCAGGAGCACAGCTCTATATGGGAGAACCTGGGGTCAACAGCGCAAGATTTTTGGGAAAATCCAGAAATCCAGAAGGCTCTCATCTCCAACTGACCTTTCACAGTTCCTGCCCACATATCCCACAGGACACTGGTCACATGTGACTTGACCATCAGGGTCCAAGTGACAGGTCCTGGAGAACCTGAAATAAAGACATATTACAGACAATACTCAGAATTTCAACTCAATTACCTGAATGTGTTGAATGGCTTTAATCATCTGAGAATTTGCAATTTTTTGCTTCAAATTTTAAGGATTTCTTTCTTTTTCTTCATTAATTAGATAACAAATATTTTTTTTAAAAAATGGACAATGCAATATAAAAAGATGTATGTCTTAAAACATAAAGATCTGTTAATGTATCAATTTAGAGTTAAAAATATTTGACCGACCAAAAGACCAATAAATTTCCTTAACAAAACTACTAGAAAAGTGTAACACTGTCACTCACTGGTTGGACGGAATGGTCAGTGGGCAAGGACAAGGTCGACAGTCATTGGGTGTTCCTATGGTAGCATCGCCATAGTAACCATCAACACAACGGTCACAGCGAGCACCCTCCGTATTGTGCTGGCAGTTCTTTGTGGAGAAAAAAAAAAGATAGCATTAACCCAGGTCATTGTTGAAAAAACAATAAAAAGATACATGTATGTAACAGAAGGTTTTTTTAGTCTGAACAATGAATTAACAAATAAAGAAGCTACATCGAAATGATGAGAAGACATAACTACAGGCTGTCCTGTTACAATACCAATCACACAAATGCCTGTCTCCTCATTGCAGATGGATAAAATCAACCATATTTCTTACAAAGTGAATGGATGTTCAATTAAACTAGATGGCTGGACACTATGTATTTCTATTCCTGATATCTACCAGACATATTCCAGTCTCCTCATTGCAGGCAGAGGCATGTCCGTGACATTCACATCTTGTGCACCTTCCAAGAGGGTAGCTAGGATCTGCAATTCTGGTATAACCAGGGGCACACAGCTGAAATATCACTGGTCATTTTTAAGTCTGTCTCATTCGTCTTTTATTAAGGCATAAAAAGGTTTCCAAGTCTTAAAATAAAAATTTAAGTCAATAATAACATAAAAACTATAATATTATTATTTTCATGCTAAGCATTTTACTAATACATACATTTTTCTTCAGTTACTTAAATTTTGTTATACTATCATTATTTGCAATAAATGAATGTTTTATTATTGCAAATATTTTCATTACCATAGTAATTATCATGATGATCTTTATGATAATCAGCTTGATTATCACTTTTTACTAATAATTATTATTTACAATACTATTATTACTATTTTTATCATTTTAATAATTAACTTTGTTATCGTAACTATTATTATTATTATTATTATTATTATTACCTGACAAGAGAGGCCAGAGTAACCCTGTGGACAGGAGCAGTCCTCCACCATGGGCACCTGTTGCTGACCATTGTTCTGAGGGACTGCAGTGTCCAGGCTCAAATCTCTCAACGTCGCAAGACCCATGATGGTGTGGTATGTAGCACGGATCAAGATGGCATCCAATTTGGCTAGAACGGCCATGAAGTCTTTCCTGGTGATGGGCTGGCGATCTCTCCTGTTGAAGCTGGACTGAAATGAAATTGAATCTCAGGGTTCATGAAATTTTGTAATTATATCATTGTTGAAACTGTCAAGTGTAAAAGGTTATCAACAAAAATATTTAGTGCTAACAATTGCCATTATTCCCTACCAACATTCTAAAAATCTATACTTTTCATTTAGCTACAAGTTCCAAAATAATTCCATTCATTCTTTCACAAGCATACCATTTCAATTTTAACAAACAAACAAGACATCCAACACCATCTGAAATATTACTTCAGTCAATAAAAAGGTCAAAATAGCTAGCAGTTTAGGCAACTCACTTCTGTCATAGGTATTTCAAACCTTCTGCTCTCCTCGGGTCTGGTTCCTGGACGGAATAGATGGTACAGACGCATTTCTCCACTCTAGGTTTAAAAATAAATAACTTTTAATGACATAAATGAATAAACAAATATAATTAATTATTTACTGAAAAAGAGACTAAACAAACAGATCATTCCAAATAAAGATAAGACTTTCTTCCTATAATAATATTTATCATACAAACATTCACTTTGTTCCAAACTTGGTGTCAGTAAGCATTGTTTAATTGCAGATGTATATAAAATGCATTAAACGTATTCTTTAATGCTCAAATTCCATATGCCCCAGACTTTGTCTCACAGTTAATGCCCCCCCCCTCCTCCCTCTCCTTCTTCCTCTCATGTAGTTAAAAAGATCATCTTACAATCAGCTCCAAGTCCACATCATTAATGGATCTGCCTGCATCCTGAGCCACGCTGTAGGACAAGAAAAACTTCAGCTTGTTGCCATAGGAAAGAGTCTACGGAAAAAAATTATATGTAATTAAATATATAGATTACAGGGGCAGATTTAGAGATATTTTCTGACAGTCTTCCAAATTCTCTTTGTTGATCCAACTTTCATTTTTGACTGTCTTCCAACAGAATAAGATAGATTACAGTTAATGTAAACTTGAAAAAATCTGATCATCTTCTGGAAGACCAAGAAGACAGCCTCCATCCACCCCTGGTTTATGAATATCAGAAAATTTGAAATGATCAGTTTTCAACACATAAAATAAAACAGTATATGATTAGATTAATAGATCACAAATTTATTTATTGACCTCCTTCATCTTTTCTTTTCATTTTACCCATGTAAAAGTCTACTGAACATTTTACATGGATTTTAGACTATGAATAAATTTATTATTAATAATATTATTATTATTATTATTATTATTATTATTAATTCACCTGATCTCCTCTGAACCGAGGAGGAAGATGGAAGAATAGACTTTCTCGCTCTCTTTGCACATCATTAAATTGGTTGAATGTGATTTCCTGTCCGCTGACCACAAAGCCGTCTGTGATTTGGCGTGACAGTCTACTGTTGGTCAGCATGAAGTTATGGCTGCCATCACTGGAAAACTGGGGTCGTATCTGGGGAAAGGATTAAACACTACATTGGAGTTTGAACATATTGCTTTACTCTCTTTATTTCTCTTCACATCACCCTCTCTTTTCAGTGTTTTTCTCCCTTTCATTCACACACACAAATTCCTCCTCACTCTGGCTCTTTCTCTCTCTCTATCACTCACACACACACAGCCGCTCACATCTCTCTCTCTCCATCTCTCTCACACAAACACATCTCTCTCTCTCTCCCCCCTCCCTCTCTCTCTCTCTCTCTCTCTCTCTCTCTCTCTCTCTCTCTCTCTCTCTCTCTCTCTCTCTATGTGTGTGTGTTCCACTTACTTGGTCCAGATAGTATCTAGAACTCCTGCACTGGTTGGTAATGCCACTACAGAAACAGGACAGACAGCCATCAGGATTGCTAGGAGCCATGTAGAAGGTGCCTGGTTTACAGCGATCACAGTCCCGGCCCATAGCATTTTCCTGGAAAATTGATTTCAAAGAATAAAATTGTCAACCTGTTTTCTATATTTTTATGACTTTTTATGGTGATTATACCCATTTCTCTAATGGGGGTAATTAAAAGTAAATGCAAATAAACAGATAAAATAATCAAAATAATATATCAAGATTATCCCTGTTGCAAAACAATGCAAATTTACTGTATAAGTTGGCTAATTTATATCAGTTTGTTTGGTACTTTAACCCATTCATTTAATTACCAAAGTATAACTTTCATTATTCATGTATGACTATTTTTCTTTCTGTCTTATTTAATGTTCTTATTATATTTTTTCCTTTTTTTCTCTCTTTCTTTTATCTTTTTTCTCTCTTGTTAAAAAACTAACCCTGCAAGTGCACTGTTTGGTAACAGAATCACATCTCTCCATCATGCCTGGCATGGTGCCACCTTGATCACACTGACACAATGGGGCTGGGGGAGTGGCTGAAATAACAATGACAGTATTTACCATATCAGTTGTTACAGTTACAACATCATGCCTGGCATGGTGCCACCTTGATCACACTGACACAGTGGGGCTGGGGGAGTGGCTGAAATAACAATGACAGTATTTACAATATCAGTTGTTACAGTTACAACATCATGCCTGGCATGGTACCACCTTGATCAAACAAACACAGAAGAAGGGGGTTGTGGCTGAAAAATTATTTTATCTGTATTTGCAATTATCAGTTGTTACAGTTACAATTTGCCATGCAAGGTACCTAGAGTTCATGTAACAAATACCATAAATTTTTGTCAAATTCATGAGACATTACAATTTGCCAGGCAAGATACCTGGAATTCACATAACAAATATATAAGTATTACAGATTCTGTTACCATTCATCATCTAATTTACTTTCATATTATAAAGCCTTAAATTCATCATCGTTATTTACTTACTGATGGGTATACAGCGGCTCCCAAGTTGGAGTGGATTTCCAGTAAATCCAGAGGCACATCTTGAAATAAAGTTTAAAATACAATGTAACATAAAAGTAGAAAACTAATAGTAGGACACATCAAAATTATCCTCTTTAATCATATCAAACCATTATGTTTACATAATACTAGACATACACTATATTTTTCAATACTCCTAATACTGTAACAGTCAAAGGTTGATTTTGTTTCTATTGCATTGTATTGTAATGTTTGTTTTGCAGTGCATCATATTGCATTGTAAATATATTGTGTATTTTATCATACATACACAAACAATATAAAACATCAATTAAGCATGATAATATGGTGAAAATGAGTTATGTATTCCTAAAAAATTATGGTTAATTGCAAAATCTAATGTACTGAACGGCCGCGTGATAATTGACCACCACCACTGACCTTTCACACCTCCTTCCTGTGTAGCCAGTTGGACACTGTGTACAGGTCACCTGGTTGTCTGAGGACAGGACACATGTGGGGCTGAACCTGGGAAACAGACAATTTAAATATTTTGAAACATGATTCAGAATTATGACATTAAATATGTGTTATGATGGTGCATATGATCAATCTCGAGAAATAGAACACTGTCAAAAGTCGAATGTTTCAAACTTATGGGCAACAAGAGAGCACTTCAAGACTGTGTTCCCATAATTTTATCGTAGTAACAGGATCGATTTATCTCAGTGGGTATTCTCGCTAAGGCGCAGACATATGTAATCAGCTTAATTGTCTGGCACACCCCCTCATAAAGCTACACAAACCACATCATGGCCCACTTAGTTTTCCCGACTTTACCCAAATACTTTCAGTTATGAGGGGGGGG